CATCAACACGTTCTTGTTTTCACTGCATTTCAAGCCTAACCTCTGTTTTTAATCAGACTGGTTAGCCTGACTTACCGCATTGGCATTTCCTCCAACCTGCATACATCTAAGCTGAAACCAGTTCCAGTTGGAGTCTAACTCAGTGGACCTGAGAGAGAAGGGAGGAATACGCACAGTCAACACAGGTCATTAACTGTGTGTGTAGATCTGAGTCATTCCCAGTCTGTGGTCAGTCCTTAAACCACTGAACGCAGTCACTGTAACCGAGTAGTCAGAGGAGGCGGCACCGTGACGACAGTGGACAGCTGTGACGACTGTGGCGGCGCGCTGAAGGCTACTCACCTGATGAAGCTGAGATGAACTCCCAGGGAGCGATGGATGCCAGAGCAGTCGATGCACAGGAACACACCGTACGAGATACTCGCCCAGCTCGGGTTTTTGGCTGCACAGTCGAAACATACCTGCACACAAACAAAGAAACTGCTGTTTCACTGTTTCGCAGCGACGTAATCACCATGACACTTTAGATTTTCTCAACTATTAGTCACGACGACATATTCACATAACAACTTGTCAAAGATATTCAATTTATGATCGTAAAATACTACAAAACCACCAACAAAGCCTTTCTGACAGCAGATATTTAGACTGGTCAAAGCAGAGAAAGCACAAGTGTGGAACTAATGACATTAATGATGAACAGCAGTGAATGAATCGTGTGGTTGTTACACCTGTTCATGTAGTTTAATTGTCTCATAATCAGGTACAATCATAGTGAAATGTATTTCTGTCAGCTCCTACAACTTGTAGAATTAAAACTGTACAGAAAACATATTCCAATACAAGGATAGAAGGTATTTGTCATTTTACAACAATAATAACCCTCGCATACAGGTAAAGTATGATTAGAGTGCCCAGCCTGTGACGACAAACTGTGGAAAAGGTTCATCAAACTTAATACTTTAACTCCACTTTATCCGTGGTGGGCTCTAAAGTAGACTGCACGTACTGTCGATCTCTATAACAGGAATATTATGGGCAATAAAGACACGGATGTTGAAGAAGATGATCAATAATTTAGTAATGAGCAAGCAAAAGTAAATATTCTGTCAGTGCAGCTTTTCTTTTAGATCGTAACTGTGTCTCTAAATGTCTGTGTGTGTTTTGGACTGTAAAGTTTAACACTTTATTAAGGCCTTCTTAAATAAAGGGGTTTTTAGGGTTTATTGGATAAATGAAGTTTTTCTGGCTACAAACACACTGATCACATGTTCAATGTTAAAGTCGACATTTTATAGACTAACCTATTAATTGATTGATTGGTCTGGAAACTAATTCATAGATAATAAAAGACACTCATCAATCATTGTTTATATAGTTAATTAGGATCCCAATTAAAGCCCTTAATGAGGAAGAGGTGCCAGTGTGATTCCCTGGCTTTGGTACAGCACTACAACAGAGAATAACTCACATTAAACACACATTATTGTTGATCTCTCAGTTTAAAGGTTAAAACCTACATTAACACACGTTATTGTTGAATCCTGCTCAGTTTAAGTGTTAAACACACATATGTGAATCCTGCGCAGCTTTAAAGTGTAAATAAATGTAAACTCACATTAAACTCATTATGTTGAATCGCTCAGTTAAAGTGTAACTCACATTAAACACACATTATTGGTGAAATCCGTGCTCAGGGTTTTAAAGTGAAAACTCCATTAAACAAATTTACTGTTGAAATCCTGCTCAGTTTAAAGTGTAAATAAAATGTAAACTCACATTAAAATCACATTATTGTTTGAATCCTGTCAGTTTTAACAGTGTAAACTCGACATTAAACACACATTATTGTTGAATCTGCTCAGTTTAAAGGTAAACTCACATTTAAAACACATTATTGTTGAATCCTGCTCAGTTTAAAGTGTAAATACAGTGTAAACTCACATTTTGTTGAATCCTGCTCAAGTTAAAGTGTAAATACCAGTGTAAAACTTCACATTAAAGGTGAATGATAAAGATCGACATAAGGTTTAATACATGTCCCAGTCGTTGCCTGCACAGGTTGCACCGTTGGCAGTTTAGAAACTCAGTAAAACAGTTAGGATGTGGAACCCTGAACACTTTCAGAGTGATTTTATAAAGCTAATCGCCGACGTGGCCTTCACGTCCGGTCCAGCTCGTTCAGCCTACTGACCGACAAAACACGAGGAACGACAAACTGCCGCTCCCGCCGCGTTCACTCAACCGTACCGGTCCACGGTCACCGGGACACGGTGCAGCCGCTTCACCTTGTTTGAGTGGGAATAGACCTGAGCCGCTTAAGACGGGGAGAGATTTTCAGTTCTGTTGGGTTCCGCTGCATTTCCTCGGTGCACAAACAGCGTGAGCTGACGTCAGTACGGTCGCCGTGCGCCTCAAAAATCTGGAGAAAAAGCGAAAGGTCAATAAATACGGAAGGCGTAGCGGAAACGTGTTGCATTCACTTTAAAACAAACAAAACTCCGGGTTTTTTGACTGAATTTATTTTCTGTTTTTCTGACTAATTTTTTTTTTCTGTTTTTCTGACAATTTATTTTCTGTTTTTGATATTTATTTATCTGTTTTCTGACTAATTTTTTTTCTTCTTTTTCTGACAATTTTATTTCTGTTTTTTGACAATTTATTTCCGTTTTTCTGACAATTATTTTCTAGTTTTTGACAATTTATTTTCTATTTTCGACTTATTTTTTTGTTTTTCTGATATTTTTCTGTTTCATTTTTTCTGAATTATCAAGATACTTCGATCTCCTGCGAGACTCCAACCTAGCAGTGACTCATGGCCTATGGTGAGCTCCTGCCTGCACCATACATGCCCATCTTCAACTGATCTACCCTCAGGTGGTGCATAGGAGTCGACACATAAGATAGTACATCTTAATGACTTAAAGACAGACTATCTCCCAGTGTCTGAAACCCGATCAAAGTAAAACTTGATTGAACTAAACAAGCTGGTTTGTTTCAGTTAAATCGAGCTCTCAATAAAGGAATTAATGCCTCTATTGTTTCAAATGATCTCTAAACTCAGGAAAATAATTAGTCCGAAAAACAGAAAAAAATTAAAATATTCAGAAAATCTGAAAATAATTACTCCGAAAAACAGACCAAAATAATTACTCCGAAAAACAGACAAAAAAAAATTACTCAGAAAAACAGAAGTGTATTGCATTCACTTGAAAATTTCGAAAAGCAGACAAATTAGTCAGAAAAACAGAAGAAATTATTCCAAAAAACTATATAAAAAAAAATAAATTACTCAGAAAAAGTAAAAAAAATTGTTTTTTTTTTCAAGTGAATGCAATATGCTTCCATGATAAACAGTCGCTGCTTACACATGCAAACCACTACGTCAAAATATTGACTGATGGTTGGTGCCTACAAGTAATTTCTACTAAAAACATTTTCCTCCATTTTCACTCAATTAAATCCAATTAAAAGCAACAGACAACGCCTATTGGCTGACCCTGTTCTACCGCTCAACCAATCAGCGTTAAGCCCTTAATTGGATCAAAGAGCAAGATTAGTTACGTCTGTATCTTAAGTATCTAAACCAATAGGCTTTGTATCTTATTCTTTTCTTTGCATGTGCAATTATAATATCAACAAATCACTAAAGTTGTTTTTCATCACCAAGCACAGTTTCTCACCTCTTACATAATTCATATAGAATAACTGTATACTGTAATATTCCTTCCTGCACACCTTAAAGCTGACTGTTACCTACGTTCTCTTTCTCTTATGTGGTACAAGGAACTTGTTCTTGTTTGTTTATTTCAGCAAAAGTGAAAATGAAAGTTTCCAGAAGCCTAAGTTGTGTTACACCTTTTGTAAGTCTGCCTCTCTGAAAACAAACCTTAAGTATTTCATTATAACAATAAATATTCATTACTAAATGAGCAAGAATCTGAAGAGGTCACATTAAACTCCAGGAACTCGCAGTATAAAGAACATCTTGATGTCCTCTCAGCAGCTTCAAGACAAATGTATTTTATTAATTTGTGTAAAGTTTGTGAGGCAGATGCGTTTATCCATCAGCAGAGAGATTTAAACCACGTAATATCCTTTTTCTATTCAGTACCCTACTTATATGATAAATATGACACAACCATATACATTGAAGGAGATAGAAGCGATACATCCGGTACAATCAACCTTCACTTGCAATAGATTCAGTATAACATATCACATAGGCTCCATACAGCACCTGTTACCCTCCACCAGATATCTCAAATCATTTCTCCTTTTTGTCGTGAGTATAAAACAGATCTTTAAACTCTCAGTGGCATCTTTAAGACTACAATAAGGACGGATCCAGGACTGCTCATAACAACTAAACTAAACTAAACACTGCACAGGCTGCTTGTGTCTTTAAGAATTGATTTAAAGGTTCTTTATTTGTTTATAAAGCATTCTTTCATTTTCTGTTCCAGCCAGATCACTCATCCACTGTTTTTCTTTTAAATGTTCCTAATGTGTCTCTAACTGTGTAACTCACTGCCTCCGGATATTAAAGCTTTCTCAGTATTTTTAAAAGGAAATCTATTTTTTCTAAATCTGTCTTTTACTTTGGAGTAATGTTACAGCCTTTGTTTGTAGGTTTCAATCTTTGGTTTTTACATTATTTGTCTCCCTGGTAATTTACATTTTGACATTGACATTTATTTTTATTTATTTATTTATCTATTCATTTTACAATTGTATTTATGGTGGTTCATTTTGTTTTTACGTGTTCAGTTTGCTATGTGAAGCACTTTGGGCTGCATGTTTGTCTGAAAGGTGCTTATTTTGAGACCAAAGTCTTCAGAATATTTCTGGGTTGTAGCAGACGTGTGTGCAGGGTGCGGGTTGATTAGATTTGACTGACAGGATCATCGATTAAATTCTGATTGGTGTGACGTTATGTCAGTGTTTTTCTATGAGCCCTGCCCTCTTCAAAACAATGACAAGAACATGGACGAAAACGTGAATATATGTTATGTGAAGTGTCTTTGAGTGCCACGAAAAGCACTGTATTAGAAATGTATGAATATTGTTATAATTGGTAATAAATACAGAAATCTCATTCTCATGTTCAAATAATCACAACTGTTTTCTTCTTGTAGTGCCTCATCTCTAAAAAGCTGATAGAGAAAACTGATTTTTTAGAAAAAAAAAACTGATTAGAAAAGCATGCAAAGCTTACAAAGTTTATCAGCTTACGGTTCAAATGCAATCAGCAATAATATATTACATGTATATTTGAATTTATAATCCTGACATGGGTCTGTTCTGCCTGAAATGCACCGGTCTTGATGGAAGGTGTTCAATGATGTAAGATATAAATAAAAGAATCAATAATTCACCTCAGATGTATTTCAACTAAAGTAACGAACCTGTTTTGAAAACGTATTTGTGTAAAGTGTAGGGAATGAACAGTTGTATTGAAAATAAAGTTAATAAAGTACAGTAATTAAGTATTTGTACTTAGCTACTTCCCAGCGCTGATTAAAACATGTGACAGTGTTTTTTATTGAGTACCATCACCTCTGGTAAGCACGGCCAGACTACTGAGGTCACTGGTATTTTTCCCAAGGGGTATGTAATAAAAGTATATCGGGAAATAATAATTTCCGCTGGTTAAATGATGAAGCTGATGAATCTGTAGAAACTGGATGGTGATGGGGAGGAGGAAGGGCATACATAAAAGACTAACTGTGACTCCAAAGCAGTGGTTCCCAACCTGGGGATCGGGGCCTCCATTAGGGACCCCAAGATCATCACTGCAGGTCGCAAGGCCTTCTTGATTTTAACAGGTCTAAGAAAACAGAAGTCCTACAGCTCAGCATATTGTTAAGTACTGAGAAGAAAACTAAATGAAATTGTTATTTTTAAAGTTCATATTATTCTTCAAAGGTCCAGTGTGTAACATTTAGAAATGGAATATAATACTCATATAGGTTTTCATTAACGTATAATCACCTGAAAATAAGAATCTTTATGCTTTTGTTAGCTTGGAATGAGATGTTTTTATCTACCGGAACACAAGGTATATCCACAGAGATAAACAACCTCGTCCTGCATTAGAAAAGTTAAAACAACCAAAGAGCTGATAGAACAATGAGAAGAAAAAAAACATGCCTAAGTATGTATGATTGTTAAAATGTACATAATACATACAGAAAACTGATAAAAAGTTTCTAAAAATATCAGAAGAATTAGTCTTTAATGCATTATTAACAGGAAATAATCTGCTCAAATTAACGGTTATTGTTAATCATTGAATATAATATGAAATATCCATAAAAGATGTCAGTTTACTCAATGATAGTAAAGGGGTCCCTGTTCAAGAGATTCACTCTTTTGGAGTTGACAGTCAACACTTCCCACAATGTCCATCCATTAAATCAGTGAATGTGGGTCACCAATTAAGTGTTAGGACTGACTTAATACCTGTAACCTAAACCAGAGGATTTTAAGTCAGTAAGCAAACAAAATGTCCTCCAACACAGAATCTGTTCTCTGGCTACTTAAAGATCTCAACTATATGTCTTTGTCTTTTTTTCAAAAGACATAAATTGTAAAGTTCGGCACAGATCTGGTTCGTCCTGTTGGGTGAATTCCAGTTGAACCGCCTCTCACATCTCAGAGATTAAAACTGACTGAACAAGCTTTCACACACACAGATTCATCATGGAGGCAGGTGCAGTTCTCCTGCTGTTCGCACTCTGTGGGTTCGCTTCCACGCAGAGCTTTTATGGAGACAGCATCAGTTTCAAGACTCCACACAAGAAGGCGGATGGGACATTTACAGTACGTTTATTATTATTTAATTATCTGCTTTTAAAGGTTTATATTTGGTCAAACAGAACAGCAGAAAGAATCACAACATTGGATACACACCAGAGTTTTAAAACCAATCTGATAAGTTATGCCTGGAAAGATTTAAGTTGTTTCAAGAGAAAATATGTAAAAGTGTAAGAATAGAGTAAGGCAACAGTAGTTTTACTGATTTAAGGAATCTACAGCCACGTAGGAAGAACTGAAGCTATGCTCCTCAACCTGCATATCATTCATACCTGCTCTACAGAGGCATTACGGCCTGGAGGTTTCACAAAAAACATGGACGTTCTTTCTGTATTTCACTATCAGGAAACTTAAAGTGCCTTTAAATATTGCTAATAATGTTTTTCCCCCCCAAATCCTGTAGGTGACCTTTAATCACAGACAGAATGGCAGAGACAGCTGTGTCAACCAGTCATCCTACACATGTGACGGCGGGGTGTGCACAGGCTTCAGTACGCCAAGTGTCCTGCAAACAGACCAGGATTCCTTGGGTCAGAAGCTGTGGTGCCAGTCCGAAGGCCAAACAACAGCAACCATCTCAACTAATAAAACCACTCTTTCTCTGAGGTAAGCTCACAGGAAACCAACTTCTCGGTCTTATGTTAGTCGGATTAGGCAGCAGACCTGTTGGCGGGTGTTTGAAGACGAGATTACATCAGAAAGTTGTGGGAGAAATTTAGGAGGAATAAATGTATGAAAATACGTTGCAGTCCAAGGTGGTGATATGTTAATTCATCTAAAGTTCAGACAGTATGAGAAGATTACAGACCGGATCTATGACATATTTTAGTTTTTATATGACATGATACACAGATCTGGATCCAGATCCATAAACTTATAAAACCAGATACGCTAATTTAACTCACAAACTGCTGAAACTGATTACATAAAAACATTTAAGTTAAACAAACTCAATTTTGAAAGTCAAAGTAACTTTGAGTGACTTAATTGTGTCACTTTTTTTTGTTCTATGAAAACAAAATACCCAGTAAAAAGTACTTAATCAAGAGTGTTTTTAAGTTACAAAATTGAGTTTGAGTTATTTCAAATGTTTATGTAATCTGTTTCAACAATTTTAGTTTAGTTAAAATAACTTTTTTCAGCATTTCAGCGTCGGATCTTTCCAGATTATTTTTGTCCAGTAATACAGCGTTAGCAAACCAGTGAAATATGGAGGCAATTTTTTTTTTCATCAAAATGGCTGTGAAATACATAATAAAGATTATGAGGGCTCTCTCTCTCTCTCTCTCTCTCTCTCTCTCTCTCTCTCTCTTTCTCTCTTCCCCCCAACTGGTCAGGACGATGACCACCCACTAGAGCGTAAAGCGGTCTGCCTAGGTTTCTGCCTGTTAAAAGGCAGTTTTCCTGCCCTGTCTCCAAGGTCTTGCTCATGGTGGTACTGTTGGGTCTCTGTAAATGTTGAAAAGGAGTTCGGTCTAGACCTGCTGCTATTTTGAAACAGTGTCCTGAGATAACTTCTGTTAATGACATTGGCGCATACAAATAAAATTAATTGAATGTTTTCCTAAATAGATTATAATAATAATAATAATAATATTATTTATACAGCACCTTTTAAAAACAGAGTTCACAAAGTGTTTTTACAGACAAAGAATACAAAAATACAGTAATAGAAGCAGAATGGAAGCCATAAAATAAAAAATAAAATAGACAGATTAAAGTAAAAAAGACAACATCACCTAAAGGCAAGTCTATAAAAATGGGATTTAAGAAAAGGTTTAAAAGAAGTCACTGATTCTTATTGTTGTTCGAAAGGCGAGAGCGTGGTCACCTTTAGATTTTAGATTAAAACAGCCAAAGACAAAGAGAAACGTGACTTTAGGAATTTATTTTTCAGGTGTGGTGTAAATCACCAGTTTCATCACGATACAGTATTATATTCTATTATAATTATAATTCTTCGGCTCAGAAGAGATAATGAGATGATATCATATCTCCCCATTAACTAAATTACATTTATATCAACTCACAAAAGAAACTAAAATAAGATTTGAACATTTTATTGCTGAACTCTTTGTTATATCATGTGTCTATGTTTCCACACATGATAAAGATGATGATATAAATCAGTGTTTTCACCCTGCATCGATATATTGGACCGTTGAACACTGATATCATTCCAGATCAATGTATACCTCTATATCTTCCACCTAATATTGTGAGGGCAGTGGTAGCCAGTGCGACTCGCCTGCGTTTCCTGGTATGATAAGTCAAAATGTCTGCTGTGAGAATGGCTTGAGATTGAATGATTAAAATACTTTGAATTCAGTGATTGTAATTATCAGATGTACCTGCAGTGAGCTGAATCGCTTCCTCATATTTCTGATACATCAACAAAACATCAATTTTTTAAATTAAATGTAATGATATGATATGATGCTGCTATAATGCTATATTCTGTACCATACAGCTCCGCGTGTCAAAGCATTGCACGTTTTAGTTTTACCAGTTTTGCATGAATTTACAACCCTAGCTGGAAAATTTGCATTTTCCAGCTAATCCAAGAGGGTTTTTACATTGTTTATTAAGCTTTATTAAGAAGTAGGAGAATTGTTTTAACCCATTAAGAAACATTTAAGTCTCCAGTTTCTCACAAACATTCATGGTACAAACCTTTACATCACACAACTGCAATATGCAACAACAGCAAATTAATAGTAATAATGATGAGAAATGGATCTATGAATTGTCCTAATGCAAGAGTAACAGTATATATTTTAATTGCAGTATTAATGGCACCAATAACAGCACTTAAATAACTGCACTGTATTTCACCATTACTTATGTAGGTGCAATACAGGGCAGTGAATAAGAGACGGGTAGTATAGGTACGAGAAGCAAACCGTTCTAGAAACTGTTGATGTGACTCCATCTTTATCCAGGTGGGAGGCTGGTGTGGGTGTGGGAGGTGTGGACATCAATATATTTATGAGCGTTAACACATTTCTCCTGTCCAGGGCCTCGGGCTGCTGCTGGGTGTCGAATGTCGAAGGCAAAACCAACTGGACGTCTCACGCAGAGTTGGACCTGGGAACTCGATCTGACTCGCACGCCCTCAACAGCTGTCCAGTAACCACCACCGTGTCCTCTTTACGGTACAAACCTCTTCTTTTCAGACTGACGTTAAAATATTTACACATAACAGAGTTCAGCAGGTAGAGCAGACCACCTGCACACAGAATCACACAGAGACACAGCACAGTGACAGACCCAGCAGCACACAATACACTGTGCAGGTAAGGCCTTCAGCATGTGAAGGACTTTCCCAACTCCCACAGAAACTAAATACTGTACAAGGAAGCTAAAGTTTCACAGTTGTCACAGACAAAAATAGGAGATGATTTGTTCGTATATTGCTTCTTTCATGAGGCCTATTGTCTCAATATGAGGGATCAGGGATAGTCCCACACAAAGTACTTAGATGGCATCATTAAACACGCACAAAGAACTTTGGGAACTTTGCACGCCAAACTGCTCTCACTACAATCTGTCTCCGCCTCGTCCTGCTGCAGCTCAGAGCTGTTTGACGTGCAATCAGCTGCTGCCACTGTGGTCCGCCACTCTGCCTCCCAAACACACTCAGAAGACGTGACTTACCAAAAATGAAGTTCAGTGAAGTTGAAGTTGTTTGTTTCTCCATTGTCACTGATCAAAATGTGCCTTAAAGGTGTGTCACAGTTACTGTAAGAGGAATGTCTTGTTGTCAATTATCTTGTCACAGTGGAACATAATAGAAAAATATTTAAGTATTTGCTGATAACGTCAAAATATGTAAAAAACAACAACAAAAAAAACAAAAACAAAAAGAAAGCCAAGATTTTTACAAAACTACTATGTTTTATTTAAAAAATACACTAAATGCATGAAAATTGGTTGTTAAATGTAATTTCTGTGTAATAATGTCTGAAATATTAAACTGTTTTCATGCAGGGTTCCTCAGAACTGTTTTTCCAGGGTTCAACTCCTGGCACACGATCCAGACGCAGATAAAGTCAAATGTCGCTTTACTGAAGACGCCACAGTTCCCACAAACTTTACCCTCAATGAGGTAATTCAATTCAAGTGATCAATACCAGTGGTGCTGCCAAGGGGTGGAAACAAACGCCCCCTCACAAGTCACACCTGCATAATATGCTTCTATCTGATTATTACATGAATTTAAATCAATAATGTATATTTTTTAAATAATACCTCATGTGAAACAGACGTCACTGTGTCACACTCCAACCCCTCCCAAGGCTTCTGGTTTTTGATAGATACAACCATAGATTTTAAGTGCCCCCCCCCCGTCCCCCCCCGATTGGAAACAGTTGCTGTATCTTTTATAATAGTAACATTATAAAGTTACAATATTTTCCTCACTGTCAAAAGGTTAGCTGCTGCTTCATATCAATAATTATCAAGATCAATATTCCAAGAGACAAAAGCATTAAAATAATCTTCATTTAACTCTCTGTGTGCCCCCCTCCCACAGACTACATGCACACTGACAAGTACAGGTGAAGTCCCCATTGGTGTCCACGTGTTTGAGCTGATGCTGGAGGACTTTTCCACCAAAAACCTCACGCTGACCTACGCAGATGGAACATCGGCCACTCGGACGGCCTCCGACGGCGCAGCACCGCTCTGCAAAGTGAAGCTGCAGTTCTCAATGGAGGGTGAGTGACACAAACACTGTATTTGATAGAATAACACAGCTGGACCCTTTGACCATAAAACAGGAGTTACAAAGGACAACAAATGTTATCTTGCTTCTCTTTACATTGTGTCAAACCGACCTTGCAGCTACGCTATAATATTACAATAATAAAGCTGTTTTTTATGAGGAAAAAGGTCATAAAGTTAGATAATAAAGTTGTAATTTAAGAGAAAATATAGAATACTTATATTTTACATTTTACTCATTTGAAACACATTACAGGGACACTGAAAATAACCTGTTGTAACAATATTCTGATGTTTTTTTCACTTTATTATCATTATATTGTTCTGCCTACTTTACTCCCTCAATATTACATTTTATTCTTAAAATACTGACTTTATAATAATAATGCTTTTTCGCATTTGCAACTATATCCTTTCTCAAAATATTGTGACATCATTCTAAATATCTCTTTATATCTCTTTTTTTTTATCTATTTAACAGTGCTTTGTCGTAATACATTTATCTGTAACATATTCTGCACCCTGGAAACAACCCTTTGTGTCTGTGTTTCAGTCCTTTCTGCAATATCAAACTGTGCACCTGGTGACGTGCAGCCCATGTTCTTGTCTAAGACTCCTTCGCATGGCGATATCCTTTATGCCACTGCGGGTCAGAAATTCCAGCTTACTGCCGAAGCACAGGCTCACCATTCCAGGTATTTACTTCTTAAACTTCTTAACATCAACCTGGCTAAAGACTGTAATATCGACATGCAACTGAGAACACTTCCTTTCTAGCTGGAAAGAGGATAGTAAGGCCTTGCATGCCAATTAAGGATAATTATTTAATGTTTCTGTCTCTGTTTTCCTGAAGTATATACGACTTCCAGGTCAGCGGCCCCCGGAACATGACCAAAGTGTTCAGTGATGGTCAGAATGGAAAAGCTGAAGTCACTCTGAGCTGGACACCAGACCAAAGCGACCTGTACAGATACATCCCAGTCTGCTTCACAGCGGAGACAAATGCAACGTGAGTGGTCTTATATTCATGTATGGAGACGTGTGTGTTATAATGTCCTGCTTACTGATTTAGCATATCATATATATTGATTTAGCAGATTGTATTTTTCTGTAGCCTTTTTGCACATTCACACTCACGCTTTCCTCTCTGCACATATTTTACAAACAACTCAGACAATAAACATGATAAAACATGATAAAAGTGCTCCAAGCTCTGAAAATTGGGACCCTTCAAAGAGAGAAATAATAATATAATATAAATAATAAACAGTATAATAAATAAACACTAAAATAAATAAGGTTAAGAAGCAGGTTAAGAAAATCTGTGCCATGTTGCTAGAACTTTAAGCTATTTGTATAACCCTTGTGCAAAGGGTGGGTTGGCATTTAAAATCAACTACACTGTGAAAAAGAAATATAAATGTATCTTTTTTGGTAAAAAAAATTGTCTGCTGTGGTTGCCAGTACTTTACCGTAATAATACAGTAATTACTATTACAGTAAAAGGACATTAGTACTGTTGTTTTTATGGTTAAAGTACTTTATTCCATCTTTCACTGTATGAATACAAGTTTTTACCATCAAAAGAAACAGTTTTGCCACATGCAAATATCATATGAATAAACAAGTTTTTGCCAGGAGATATGACGCCGTTTTACTGTTACAAAAACTGTGTTTACAGACTTTTACTGTCATAGGTTTGACAGTGGATTGTTTTTTTTTTTTAAATATATGTGAGAAACAGTTATTATTTTATACTTTATGACTGCATCAGGTGTTATCATTGTTACATTATCATTATATTTGCTGATGTTGTTGTTTTTGCACTGAAACCTATTTTCTTTGTTTTGTCATTCAGCCAATCAGAAATGAGGTGTGTTGTTGTCATGGTGATCCAAGCATCTATCATTCAAGGTTTGTTAATCATCTGGATCATCAATCAATGGACTATTACAGAAAGTGTTAAAAGCTCTACTCCTTGCTTGTCATAATAATAAAGTAATAAGGGATTACTTATGAACTATTTAGTAAGATCACTATCACTTTATTTGAGGGGGCACAAAAAAGTAATTAAGTAATTCGTTTTGTGCCGATCAGCAGCTGATTCAGTTATAATATGTAACATTTCAGCTTTAAAATGTCACTAGAGCAACATTATGTTATTTTCTTAATTGTGTACTTAAATGATCCCAAATGTTTCCAACTTTGTTCAAACTCAGAGAAATCTGTAATTTACTAAAACTGCATTCGTCGGATACGTCAGAAAGTGAGGAAGGAAGTTGGTGAATAAAACTTAATACGTTATCTCGTCGATAGATTTTCTTCAGCAATGGTTGTTGAAGACAGCAACTCTCATGATTCCACATTTTTTCACTCAAAATGAGGAAGTTAATATGATTTAATATGAAATGTGATTTACAGGCAAGGCCAATGTTAAATGCTCACCCAACAAGATGGAGGTGGCCATCGACAAATCCTCCATGCCTGACATCGACGAGAACTTTCTCAAGCTGAGAGACCCGTCGTGCTCTTTCACCTCCAACGAGACTCACATCATGGCCTCCATGTCATTCAGCACCTGCGGGACCAAAGCTGAGGTGTGGAGAAACATTTACATCATTACCCAAATCAGAGCGCTTTCTAGCTGATCAGATAGCAGCGGTAATAGTGGAAATTACAGGACAATGAGAGGAACACTCAAAAAGCATGAACTGCTCATTTTCTCCTCAGCCACTAATGTGTTTTATATCACTTTTATTTTTTCTGAAATACAGGATAAAGGTGACTTTCTTGTTTTCAAGAATGAGATCAACTCCTTCGAGCTGGCCAGTGAGATTATAGTCCGAAGGAAGACCGTTAAGATCGATTTCTCTTGCCAGTTTCCCAAAACAATCAGCATCTCCAGTTACTACAATCTCCACAAGTCTGACTACATTTTCACCGAGTCCAGCTTCGGCAGCTTCGGCTACACTTTCGAGATCTTCCGTGATGGCAACTTCACAAATAAGGTGGAGGCCAGCGCCTATCCAGTGGAGGTCAAGCTGTTGGAAAAAGTTTATATGGGCATTCAAGCTGAATCGGAGTTACCAAACGTGACTTTGTTTGTTGAATCATGCAAAGCAACTCCTGATGACAACCCTGACAACACACTCTACTATGACCTCATCAAGAACGGGTAAGAGCTGATGATTTCTGGGATGACACACAAAAATGCTTCTGCCTTTTAACATGAACATTTTTAAATTTAGTAATCTCTGGGAATGTAATAACAATAATCTCTCCAATATCTGTCACAATTAATTTTTTCCCCCCAGGTGTCTGCAGGATGAGACAGTTAAGGTGTACCCATCTAATCAAACTGTATTCAACTTTGAGGTCCAAGCCTTCAAATTTACTGGAAACTATGATCAGGTAATAATAATTAATGTTAAAGGTTGTATATGTGAAACAGCATCTCAGACCAAAACAATGGGCGGTAAAGCTGTCAGTAAGACACACTTAAATAATAATAAAAACTCCCCAGATTGTCTTTCCAACAATCACCAGCTGGGTGGAAATAAATCCTTAGAGAGGATCAAACAGCAAAGACTGAGTGAACACGCTACCACAGGCAATGATACACTATAACATGTCAAAACAGAACCGATCAGACCTTCCTGATATCACCAAAGACAAGATGAAAAACAGCCTGATAAATGACATTTCCTCCCATGAAAGGATTTTCTGATTTGCCCTGAACTAAAACCTGTCCCCTTACAGGTGTACATCACCTGCTCCGTCATCCTGTGTGAGCCTGGGAGTTCCTTTTCCAGATGTGCTCAGGGTTGCCTGAAGGATGCATCCCGCAGACGACGCAAGCGAGAGCTGACCAAGGAGACCGACAGCCACTACATCATTCAGGGTCCTTTGCGGTTTGTGGGGCAGGGTGTTCCCAGCGCAGCGGTGGATGATAGTGTCAACAACGTTGTGATGGAGAAGATTGAAAAGATAGAAACACCCGTTACAACAGGTTCATATCTATCTATCTATCTATC